CTTAGAAATTTCCCTGATTTGCTCCCTGGGTATGGCCCAGCCTTGTCCCAAGTCATAGGGTTTGGCCAGCAGGCGTGGAATGGGTAGAGGTTTATGGAGCCAGGCAAGACTTACTGTCTTCTCTGCCCAAGGCCAAAATGCCTTGATAATAAGCCACCATTGTGCAGGTGAAGGCCCAGTGGGCAGACCTCCAGCTGCAACCTAGGTTACACCTGAGCTCTAGAGGTCAACTCATGGCAGGCAGCAGGAAGCTGGTGCCCAAGCTGATCCCTTGAGGGCATGCTGATAATGGAGGACCCAAGGCTGGAGTAGGCTGGGCCCCAGTGCAAATGTTCCTCCACAGCCTGTATCTCCTTCTTACTGGCGCCCAATTCAGAGGACTCCTGAGCAAACCTCTCTCCTCTTCATTCACTACACTGGCCAGCTACCTCTGTTGTGGGGCAAAGGAAGGGGCACAGTCACACATGAGGAGAACACAGGGCTGTCCTCTGGCCGATGAATGTCCAATGGGGGATAACTTGTTGGAAGCCTGACCTGGCCTCTCTCTGAGGTGACCAGAACGGGTCCTGTCCAGCCAGGCAGAGCACAGACAGACTGCCACTGGCCTCTCTCCTGTCCTCTCCTCTTCACTCACTGGATCAACTCCAAATACAGTAAAACATACAGAATGTGAAATTCGCCACTTTAGCCCTTTTTGAAGGTGCAATTCAGTGACATTAAGTACATTTGCTACATTGTCGTGCAAGCATATCGCTATTCATCTCCAGAACTTCCTTTCTCTCTCTCTCTCTCTCTCCCTCGCTCGACAGTCTTGCTCTGTCACCCAGGCTGGAGTGCAGTGGCACGATCTTGGATCACTGCAACCTCTGCCTCCCAGGATCAAGCGATTCTCCTGCCTTAGCCTCCCAAGTAGCTGGGATTACAAGCATGCACAAGCATGCCCAGCTAATTTTTGTATTTTTAGTAGAGACAGGGTTTCACCATGTTGGCCAGGCTGGTCTTGAACCCCTGACCACAAGTGATCCTCCCGCTTCAGTCTCCCAAAGTGCTGGGATTGCAGGCATGAGCCACTATGCCCGGCCATCTCCAGAACTTTTTCATCATCCCCACCAAAAACTATGTACCCGTTATAAACATCAACTCCCCGTTCCCCTCTTCCCCCGGTCCCTACTAACCATTTTTCTTGCTGTCTCTATGAATATGCCTGCTCTAGGTGTCTCATATAAACGGAATCATACAGCATTTGTCCTTTGGTATCTGGCTTACTTCACTTAGCATCGGGTTTTCCAGATTCATCCCAAATATTCTTATATTTTATTCCCCACCATCCTCCCAACCCTGTGTGACTCCGGATACACAAAACTCTCAGTGCACCCTAGAACCTGGCTGGAGGGCCCAGGAGGGAGGCAATGTGTTGTCTGGTGAATAGCTGCACTCATACTTCCCCGTCTGCGCCAATGAAACCTCACCTCTGCTCGGTTCACAGGGCAGCCTTCAGAGCAGCCACTACCCATGGGGTACTCACCTGAATCATCTAAAAGTACGGCCCTGAACCACACAGTTTTACTCCTTTGCTTTATGTCTATGTTGCAAGTTTCAAGGAAATGTCTATATAAACCCCACTGGTTCCACAGCTCTGCTGTCCCAGCCTTGGTCTCCACCCTTGGCACCTCTCTCCTGAGTCACTATAATAATGGCCTAACTTCTCTTTCTGCCACTGGCCAAGGTCTTCTGGTACATTCTATTCGTTCAACACTCACTCAGCAAACATCTATTGTGTATCTACTAGGTGCTGGGGGATGAGCTTGGCACTGGAGATAAGCAGGTAAATATGCTAGTGTGGAAGTTAGACAAATAAAAAAACAAATGACTAGAAATTGCTTTTAATTAATAAAAAAGAAAACATGAGGCAGGCGGATCACGAGGTCAGGAGTTCAAGACCAGCCTAGCCAACATGGTGAAACCTCATCTGTACTAAAAATACCAAAATTAGCTGGGCGTGGTGGCACGCGCCAACTACTTGGGAGGCTGAGGCAGAATAATTGCTTAACCAGGACCCGGGAGGCAGAAGTTGCAGGGAGCTGATATCACACCACTGCACTCCAGCCTGAGCTACAGAGCGAGACTCCATCTAAAAAAAGAAAAAAGAAAACTTAAAGTGCAATGTGATAAATGTGATAGAGGAAGAGATGGCTCAGTGTTGTCAAGATGTAACAGTGAGAGAGATGAAAATCATTGGATGAAAATCGGGGAGGCTTTCTGGAGTAGGCAATAGCTGAGCTTGGGTCTTAAAAGACACGGGCATTAACTAGGCAGAAAAAGGAGGGACTTCACCCCAAGCAAAGGGGACAACACAAAGGGGTAGGCACAGGGACAGGCAAAAGCCATTTTGGAAACAGCAAGTTTGGCTTAGCTTGAGCAGAGGGGAAGGCTGTGTAGGTTGGCAGGGGCCAGATCAGGAATGATCCTTACCTACTACCAGCTATGTGGATGTTTCTCTGAAAGGTAAAGGAGAGGTTCTTCAGGGTGCGTAGGTGTGTGGGTATGGGAGTGTGTGTGTGTGTGTGTGAGAGAGAGAGACAGACAGACAGACATAATCAGATTTGCATTTTATTTATTTATTTATTTATTTATTTATTTATTTATTTATTTATTTTTGAAACAAAGTCTCACTCTGTTGCCCAGGCTGGAGTGTAGTGGCGCAATTATGGCTCACTGCAACCTCCATCTCCCAAGTTCAAGCGATTCTCCTGCCTCAGCCTCCCGAGTAGCTGGTATTACAGGTGCCCGTCACTGTACCCGCCTAATTTTGGTAGTTTTAGTAGAGAAGGAGTCTCATCATGTTGGCCAGCTTGGTCTTGAACTCCTGACCTCAAGAGATCCACCCGCTTTGGCCTCCAAAATATTGGGATTACAGACGTGAGCCCCTGCGCCTGGCCCTATTTGCATTTCAGAAAAATCTTTCTTGGTGCTATGAGGGCCATGGGTCAGAAAGGGATCAAAGGTGGAGGTAGACAGAGTAGTTGAGAGGCCATGGAAGGAAATAAGGTGAAGTAAGGCAGCAGATGGATGTTGGGGCACAGATTTGGGGCCTGGGGCTGTGGGAAAAGGAGTCTGGGATGAGCACCTGGATGGAGGACAGCCCATCCTCTGAGGTGAGGAGCACAGGGGCAGGAGAGCACTCAGGATGGGTGCGGGGAAGACAATGATGAGTACAGCCTGGCAAATGGTGAGTACTATGGTTTGACTGTTTGTGCCTTCCAAAATTCATGTTGAAACTTATTCCCTAATGCAACAGCATTAAAAGATGGGGCCTTTAGGAGATGATTAAATCATAAGGGCAGAGCTCTCATGAATGGAATAAGTGACCTTATAAAGGGGCAGGAGGGGGAACTAGCTAGTTTATTTTGCCTCTCCATCCCTTCTGCCATGTAAGGACAGGGTTTGTGCCCTCTGGAGGACACAGAAACAAGGCACCATTTGGAAGCAGAGAGAGCAGGCCCTCACCAGACACCAAACCTATTGGCACCTTGGTATTGAACTTCTAGCCTCCAAAAGTGTGAGAAAATAAATCTCAGCTCTTTATAAATTACTCAGTTACTATAGCAGCAGTAGGTGACTCATGCCTGTACTCCCAGCACTTTGGGAGGCTGAGGCAGGTGGATCATCTAAGGTCAGGAGTTCAAGACCAGCCTGACCAACATGGTGAAACCCCGCCTCTACTAAAAATACAAAAATTAGCTAGGCATGGTGGCCTGTGCCAGTAATCCCAGCTACTCGGGAGGCTGAAGCTGGAGAATCGCTTAAACCCAGGAGGCAGGGGTTGCACTGAGCCGAGGTCGCACCATTGCACTCCAGCCTGGGCGACAGAGCGAGACTCGGTCTCAAAAATAAAAAACGTGCTTTGGACAGCCTCTGAACCTGAATGCAAAGTGATGTCTGTTTATTTGTGATAGTATGTAATCATATACTGTCTTATATGATTGGCTAATTGATTCATAAACAATAATTTACTTTCTTCCACTAAACTACAAAATTCTCATAGTCATTCATGTCTTATACATTTTTGTATATGGTGTATACACAATGTTCAGTACAGTGTTCACACTACAGAGTACAGCACAGCGACAGATACAGAAATATGTTTAACATATATCTTTTGATTAAGGAAGTGCCTTTCACACTCCTTGACAAATTTGGGAAGGGTGGGGAAATTCAAGACAGACGAATTTTCTCTATTTTTATTATTTTTCTTATCTGGAAAAAAACAGAAGAATAGTGGGGAAATCATAGCACAAACCCACCCCAGGACCAACAACATCCTTTATGCTACAAAAATCTGAGGTATAAATACAGATTTGCTTATCCCAGGGTTAAAGAACTGTGGATTGAAGGCTAATGAAGATGCCAAGAAAAAAGGATTGCCATACTGCAATTCAGCTTCATCTTACTCCGTTCATTTTGACCCATCAGGTGATAGAAAGGTGGAGTTCACAGAAGGTTTGATAAATCACAATATCCTTTAACTAAATACCCTCAATGAGCAGGATGTTCCAGTTGTGATTATAATCACATTTTCTCTCCATGTTCACCTGAAAGAGTGGCAGTAGGGTTTCTACTTGCGGAACTGCTAAGCAAAAGTAGGAGGAAGAAAAGGAAATAGAACTGCACCGGGAACCTGAGATACCTACCTCTCAGGGGAAAGAAAAGGGCCAACATGATTGCTTATAGTGGTGAATAAAGCTGCTAATTTTTTTTTTTTTTTTTTTTTTTTTTTTTTTTTTTAAGACAGAGTCTTGCTCTGTCACCCAGGCTGAAGTGCAGTGGTGTGATCTCGGCTCACTGCAACCTCCACCTCCAGGTCAAGTGATTCTCCAGTCTCAGCCTCCCAAGTAGCTGGGATTACAGGCGTGTGCTGCCACACCTGGATAATTTTCTACTTTTTAAAGTAGAGACGGGGTTTTGCCATATTGGCCAGGCTGGTCTTGAACTCCTGACCTCAGGCGATCCACCTACCTCTGCCTTCCAAAGCGCTGGGATTCCAGGTATGAGCCACTGAGCCCACCCAAAACTGATAATCTTTTATTTCTGCTGTGGAGAGCCTCCGCTGTAGAAATTCGTCTCTTGTAGGAAATTATATTGCCCTGGCTCTGGTTTTTGTAGGTTATGCGGGCATAGGTGATGACAAAGAACGTCCAGAAACAGTGCATGATGGTACGAGACACCAAGCCAAACCAGCGCATGATTCTGACCTCTGTAACGCTGAAGTCGTCATTGGTGAGGATTTGTATTACGACGTTTACGGTTTCATAGAAAAAAATCCAGGCAACGTAGATGACCAGGCCCCTGAAGATCTGGGCATACACTGAGTACAGGAGGAAGCAGCTGATGATGATGGTGATGAAAGAGAGGAAGAGGACGATTTTAAAACTCCAGCAGATGATGAAGTCATTTATGATGCCACTTGCACTCTCGTACTTTAGTATGATCTCAGTGCAGTTGCCATGCCCTAGGTGATTATGTTCAAAGATGAGATACATGTGTACGGCCATGATGGTGAAGACCCCTGCCAACACGGTGCCCATTTTGGCAGTCATCCCACACCACTGCTGCTGTTTCACGCCGAGACCTCCTGTGAAGACAGACAACATGAGGGGGAATTCTAGTTCCTGCCAACATGGTAAATTACCAAGGTTCTGCCTCCTTTCCCAGTCCACCTTGGAGAAACATAGACAGCAATATGAAAACCAAGAAACTATAGTCTTGGGAAGACAGAGGCTGTTTAAAATGGATTGGGGGTGGGGAAGAGAGAGGATTCAGTCAAGTCGGTGGCAATGACCAAATAAAATTACAGCAGTGGGGCCGGGCGCGGTGGCTCACGCCTGTAATCCCAGCACTTTGGGAGGCCGAGACGGGTGGGTCACGAGGTCAGGAGATCGAGACCATGCTGGCTAACACGGTGAAACCCCGTCTCTACTAAAAATACAAAAAATTAGCTGGGCGCGGTGGCGGGCGCCTGTAGTCCCAGCTACTCAGGAGGCTGAGGCAAGAGAATGGCATGAACCCGGGAGGCGGACGTGCAGTGAGCCGAGATCGCGCCACTGCACTCCAGCTTGGGCGGCAGAGCGAGACTCCGTCTCAAAAAAAAAAAAAAAAAAAAAAAAATTACAGCAGTGGTTCTCAACCCTGGATTCACCTTAGAATCCCCAAAAGTACTCAAGTCCAGGCCCCACCCCAGACCAATCACAACATTCTCTGTTTGGGACCCAGGCAGCAGTATTTTTCAAAACTTCCTACTAATTTTCATAGGTAGCCAGTGTTGGAAAAAGCTGAGTTAGAAAAAGATGGCTTAAATTATGCTCTTAGCTGGGCACGGTGGCTCATGCCTGTAATCCCAGCACTTTGGGAGGCTGAGGTGTGAAGACTGCTTGAGTCCAGCAGTTCAAAACCAGCCTGGGAAACATGGTAAAACCCCATCTCTACAAAAATTAGCCAGGCATGGTGGTGCAAGCCTGTAGTTCCAGCTACTCCGGAGGGTGAAGTGGGAGGATTGTTTGAGCCCAGGAAGTCAAGGCTGCAGTGAGCTGAGATCGTGCCACTGCACTCCAGCCTGGGTGACAGAGCAAGACCCTGTATCAAAAAAAGAAGCCGGGTGCAGTGGCTTACGCCTGTAATCCCAGCACTTTGGGAGGCCGAGGCGGGCAGATCACGAGGTCAGGAGATTGAGACCATCCTGGCTAACACGGTGAAACCCCGTCTCTACTAAAAATGCAAAAAATTAGCTGGGTGTGGTGGCGCGCGCCTGTAGTCCCAGCTACTTGGAGGCTGAGGCAGGAGAATGGCATGAACCCAGGAGGCGGAGCTTGCAGTGAGCTGAGATCGCGCCACTGCACTTCAGCCTGGGCCACAGAGTGAGACTCCTTCTCAAAAAAAAATAAAAAAAGAAAAAAGAAGAAAAATTATGCTGTTAATTCTCCTAGCATTGCCTTGGGCTACCATTGCTGCCCAGATGGTGAAAATTGCCTGTACTCGTTCAGACCTGAATGCAGATGTTTCAGAATATAACCAGGGCAGCACAAGAACCCTGTTGGGTGGAGATGATAAAAACAGGTGGACACCAACTGGCTTCGGGCAATCGCTTCTCTACTACATATCAAAATATGGATTACAATGAAAGATGTATACTGTAAAGGAAATTTAAAGCCTTAAGGTAGACTAGCTTTATAATAGAAAAGAAAATGCAATAATGAGCTAAGTATTCAACTCAAGAAGTTAGAGGGAAAATAACAACAATACAAAAGTAGGAGGAAGAAAATAAATAGAAAAGCATAAGTCAATGAAACAGGAAATAAAGTAGAGGGACTTCTGACTGGTTAGGTTATTTGGGCTGACATGTTGCTAAAAAGCAACTTAAAATGCTGGATAAAATAGTTAAAAAATATAAAGTATAGAAGTGCTGCCCAAGTGGAAGGAAGTAAATTTTGCTCTGAGGTTATTTGCCAATCTAGGCAAACTTGGATTTCATTATGACAGCAATGCAGGGTAAAGAAGAATGAAATCAAAGCTCAGGGTCCACCAAGGTGAGGAGTCTTTCCTGTATTAGTTGTGAGCATCCCCAGAGGCCTACGATTTGGGGAAAGGTGAATCAGAAGTAAACCTCCCCTACATCTTTCTGCCAGGAAACTCCAAGAAAAGTTGGCTTGTTAACTACACTGAGCATGTAGGGAGAAAACTCTCCTTGAGACATTGTAATCATAACTGGCTTTTTTTTTTTTTTTGGTAGATTTATAGTCCACATTACATGAAGTATTTTTTTTTTAACTTTAAGTGATAAATCTAGTTTAAAGTAGTCCTAAACTGAAAGTGTGTCTAAGTGTCTGGCAGAAGCAAACTCAAACCCTCTCTGGAGGATTGTACTTTTATGCTGGTCTTCATTCTCCATGAATTTTCATCAGCAGTTTTTCGGGGACAAGGACAAGTATATAGTGAAAAATAACCAAGCACGTAAGGAACAAGGCATTGTGAGAACCAGCTGAAACAACAGATAGCAAAACGGAACTGCAGTAGTATCTGATCATAAAACAACTATGGTTACTATATTTTTGCATTATTTAAAATTTTTGTTTTACTTTTATTGTAGTGTAATTCATGCACATATAATACACAGATATATAATATACACAAGATAAAATTTTACGTCTTAACCATTTTTAAGTAGACAGTTTAGTAGTGTTAAGTATATTCATTTTGTTGTACAATCTCTAGAACTCTTTCATCTTGCAAAACTGAAACTGTACACCCATTAAGCAACAAATTCCCATTTCCCCCTGCCCCAGCTCCTAGAAACTATCATTCTACTTTCTGTTTCTATTAATTTGACTACTCTGGTTATGTCATGTAAGTAGAATTTTTTTTTTTTTTTTTTTTTTTTTTGAGAAGTCCCTCAAAAAGGCTAGAAACCTCTGTGGCCAGAGGCACCTTTGCCTGAGTTCTTGTTCTGTGTCCAAGATGAGGTACACAGACAAGAGAAGGGTAAACAAGATGAAGATGAGCTTTAAGTGCTCATCAGCTCAAAGGAGACTCGCAGTGGGTAGCTCCTCTCTGTAGGCAAGTCATGCCAATATCTGCTGCTCTCAGCAGGGAGAAGGTCCTGGAGGGGGTTGCTCCTCTATGCAGCTGATAGTCCTGACGTCTCTGCAGGTCTCTGATGCTCTCAGAAGAGAGAGTAGTTCCTCTCTGTAGCTGGTCCTCCCATTGTCTCCTGCTATCAGCAGAGAGGATAGCTCCTCTTTGCAGCTGGTCGTCCTATCATCTCTCTGCCCTCTTCATCCTCTAGCCATCCTCTGCCCTGCTCTGGCTAAGCCCAGGTCTTTCATGGACCTCAGAGGGGAGGAAGTGCATGCAGATTGGTCCATGGGCGGCCATGGGCAGGCTGGAAGAGGCACCACGAGTTCCCACTCAGGTCTGCAGGACTGGCGGCCTGGCCCCAGCCTTCAGGCTCTCCCTGGCCTGCAGTGGGGCCTTACTGAGGACCCGCCCTCTTCCACCCAGGAATCAGTATGCCTCCCGCTGCCATTCGTGGCCCCTCAAGGGTCTGCCCCAATCCGGCTCTGAGATTTGAACAGGTGCCGGGATTGGAGAGAGACCAGGCAGCGGGAGCAGACATTCCGGAGCCTGCAGGGATGAGAGGAGGCCGGGGAGCGGGTCCTTCTGGGGCCCCCGAGGGTGCAGGCTGCAGAGACGCCCGGGTCTTGCACCTGGGAGGGCAGCCGCAGCTGCACCTGGGAGCTCCTATTAGTCCTCGGCTCCTGCCTGCTCAGTGAAGTGGGAGGCCCAGGTCTGCAGCCGTGGGTCCTGGCAGCTGCAGCTGCACCTGGGAGGGCAGATCCTGCCTATTCCCGGCCCTCCTCCAAGAGCACAGGGAAGCTTGGATCCACAGCCACAGTTTGGGCAGCTGCGGCCCGCCAAAGAGGGCGGGGCTCCTGCTTGCTGCGTACAGCCGGAGGCGGGGTCTACGGCTGTGGTGTGGGCGGCTACAGTAGCACCCGGGGAGCTCCCGCCTTAACTCAGAACGGGCCGGGCTTCCACCAGCTCTATGGAGTGTGCAGCCCCAGCCGCGCCTCTTTGCTGCAGTTGGGGTGACAGCCGGAGTGATGGCAGCAGCCTCTGCCATCACTAGCTGATTTGAAAAAGAACCAAATAGAATTTCTAGAGATGAAAAACTCAGTATCTGAAATTAAAAATTCAGTGGACATAAATGGTAGCAGGTTGGACACGGATTAAGGAATAATTAGTTAACCAGGAAACAGAAGATAAATCACGAGAAATTATCCAGAATGTAGCACAGGGAGACAAAAAGATGTAAAATATGAATGAGAAGTTAAGAAACATGAAAAATATAATAAGATGTTCTGATAGAGAAAGAGAGATGAGACAAAATGGAGGTAGCTATTTACAGAGAAAATAGCTGAGGATTTGCACAACTGAAAAAAAACACCAATGCACAGATTCAAGAAACCTGATTGCTAGAAGGATAAATGAAAGAAAATCTACACAAAACATATGGTACTCAAACTATCGAACACCACACACAAAAAGAAAATCTCAAAAGCAGCCAATGGACTTTTATTTAAAAGACCAACAGTTATAGACTTCTACAGGAAACAAAAATCCCATGGAATAATATTTTAATTGTGCTAAACAAAGCAAAACAAACAAACAAAAAACCCTGCCAACCTAGGATTCTATACTCAACTAAAATATTTTTTTTCTTTTTTGAAACAGAATTTTGCTCTGTCGCCCAGGTTGCAGTACAGTGGCGTGATCTCGGCTCACCACAACCTCTGCCTCCCGGGTTCAAGCAATTATCCTGCCTCAGCCTCTCAAGTAGCTGGGATTACAGGCGTGTGCTACCACGCCCAGCTAATTTTTGCATTTTTAGTAGAGACGGGGTTTCACAATGTTGGTCAGGCTGGTCTCAAACTCCTGACCTCAGGTGATCTGCCACCTCAGCCTCCCAAAGTGCTGGGATTACAGGTGTGAGCCACTGCGCCTAGCCTATTTTTCTTATTTATATATATATATATATATTTTTTTTTTTTTTTTGAAATGGAGTCTTGCTGTGTCGCCCAG